ACACCCTCTGTTTATGCATTTGTTTGCATTCTGCCTTGCCCTGAAGAAGAATCTAAAATCAATTTTTTTTTCAACACACACAACTTCAGTGCAGTGACAACAAAAAGATAAAAATCCAGGCACAGAGAAAATGAGATTATGGTTAAAATGAAACCAAGGGAAGGTCTGATCAGAAAAACACCCGCCCACTATATGGAGGGTGTAATTATTAAAGGGATCTGTGGACTCAGCGCTAAGGTTCCTAACTACTAAAGCAGCGAGGGGGAAATCCATGATTCCTCAAACCTATGAGAACACGGTGGCTTGCACATCCCCAAAGAGGAATTCTGAAGTACCCCTCTCATCCTTGTGCTAAAAAAAACTACAGCCACCTGCAGGGCTCAGAGGTCTCCGCCTTTCCTCTGACACTAGTCACTTCCTTCTTTTATCACTTTTTCTGGTCAGAGTGGAGCTCTGAAACTGAGCTCTCGGCCGGCAGTGCCTTGCCCGAGGGTCCACCAAGGCCACCTGATCGCCTCCACAGCCTGCCCTCTCACTGTGAAGAGACTGACTGCTCTGACTGTCCCCACAGATTCCGGCTCTCCTGAGGACGCTGGGGCAAGCCACATACCAAAACCTTGTTGGACCAGAAACTTCTCAGAGCTAGCTCGCGCTCGCGCTCGCGCTCGCTCTCTCTCTCTCTCTCTCTCTCTCTCTCTCTCTCTCTCTCTCTTTCTCCCTTTCCTTCTCTAGTAAGGAATCTAGCAGCCTTTCCTCCCCATTCAATGGTTTCCTTGTAAGATCCGTGAATTCCCCGCGGTCTGGCCCTGGAAGCCATTGGCTCCGCTGGCCAGTGCTGACCTGTCTGGGCTTTACCTCAGTCCCAGTCTCCCACTTCCCCTTTCCGCATTCAACAGCCCCTCCCCGACTCTGCTGCCCGGCTGACTTGGAGCTCCCACTAACAGAAGTACTAGGGATGCAATCACTCCTGTGCCTACCAGGCTCTTGCAGGGTTTCCTTAGCAACCGCTTCATTAAGGAAACCCATCAAAAAAGAAATGCAAAGAGGCTGTTCTTACATCGGAACAGAGTAGCCTGCATAAAACCAGAACGGCTTTGGCGAGAAAATTAGCCAGAGACAAAGAGCTTGCAAGTCTCCTCCAAAGCCTCCGAAACCGAAATGTTCTTAAAGGGCACACAATCTCTCCGGAACTTTCGGATGTAAAGAGGTCAAGGCCCTGTGCCTCTGTGTGACCTGTCAGATGCTGGTTGAGGTCCCCCCACGCCGCCCCCCCCCCAGAACACTTCCTTACTGGCACTTCCTCTTAAGGTCACCCGCCATTTTGGGTTGCAAACAAAAATATATTCGGTTCCTTGTGTTGCTGGGGGTGAGGGGAGCCACGGGGATGCAGGGTCGTCTTTAGGAATCACGGAGAGGGGGATTTCAAGAACAATGGGAGACTTTGTGAGAAGAGCCTGGGTCCGCCTCCGCCTCCAGATTCTCCTCCATCTTGAAAACTGGCTGCAAATGGTGAGGAAGCTGCCCAGACGTTGCCGGCGCCGACGCCAGCCCGCAAGCCCTGCAAGGCAGCTGCTTGGGGGACAGTCCGTGCAGCCCAGGAAGACGATACCCTTCGGTGCATCTTTTCCTGCATCGCAACGGTGCTCATATCCCCGGGATGCATGCATCCGGAGCAGCCCCCTAGAAGGTATCCAGTGGAAGCACGCGCTTTTTTTTTTTCTGTAGAACTGACTCACTTGGGAATTATTTGCCTCCGGGTTTTATTGTTCAGCATCGGTTCCCCTACCACTCAGCTCAGCCAGCGTGGATCGTGACTGTTCGCTGCTCACTGGACTTCAAAAGCAGGCAGGCAGGCAGGCAGGCACAGACAGACAGACAGACAGACAGACAGACAGACAGACACAAACACACACAGTCTGGCTCCTGCCCCTCCCAGTGAGGGACGGCATGAACACACCAGCCAAAGACCCCCTCACCTCTAAGCCACAGTCTTATTTGGTGCCTGTGAGACTGTCCCTTTTTCTTAAGCTCCCCTCTGAGGATATGGATGGCTACATTTAGATCACAGAATCTCAAGGAACACATAGATTCAAACTTAAAGAAAAAAAAAACAGTCTGTGAATGGATGCCAGTGAGGAGCAGACTCCTAACCATTCTGGTGTGCCCAGCAGGTGTGTAGCACTAAGTATGCATCCCTGCAGCATTTGCAACTTACAAGGAGTGAGGTGGCCACAGGCATCCCACAGAAAACAGACTGAGAGGGCTCGTGACTCCTCTAGCCACACAGGGAGGAAACTGACTGAACCTGGGTCTGGGGACTCAAGGCCCAGCCCCTCTGTTCTCATCTGAACCTTGTCATTTGTCTGTAAAACTTCACGGCCAGCACACAGATCTGTACAGAGCCAGCTACTGGCTGTCATTTGGGAGTGCCAGATAATTACCACAACACAGGGACTCCGCATCTGTTCTGCAGAGACCCTTCCCAGCACAGCTAAAGCCCCATGTATTATTCACCAGTTCTGAGCTCCATGCAGGGAGCTCCGTCTCAAAGATGGAGGAACTTGTGCTGATCACATCGCCCTTCCTTCCAAAATGTCCACATTTGACCAGTCATTCATTCCCGTCGGTTTCCACAATGGAACACACTCCACCAAGAACCAAAAGCTTGTTCTATTTCAGAAGAGCCACAGGCTCTTCTCTTTACCGTGATTATAAAATGCCACCAGAACTCGTTATTTTGCTGCCTGCTCTACCAGCAGACAAATATCAGGATGAGTCAACTACTGCAAAGTGCCTTCCTCTTCGGGCAGAAGAAAGGCCGGTAACCGCCCTATGCCGCAGGGCCACATTTACCACGGAGCACTGCTGCCCTCTAGTGCTTGCCTGAGGCCATGCACTGCAACAGCAGAGCTGGTCCAAATTAATGCCCACACGTTTTCCGTGAAAACATTTTATTTTGTAAAATGTGTGTTTACATGTCCAACTGTGAAAACAGTTTTTCAGTGTGACCAAATCCCCTACCTTTAATCTGTAAAGGTAACTTTAATAACTGCAGAGGCAAAGCTGAGCTGGGATGGCTGGCAGCCACCCAGTCCTCCGGTAACAGCTAAGCCTAACAGACTCCATTCCCCGGGCCTTCCAGGTCTGCTCGGAGCCTCTACTGTGTCCCAAATCTGTTTCCTGAAACCCCTAAGCCTGATGACAACAGCACTAGCCTGCTTCAGACCTGTAGAGCAACACAGGACCATCAACTCTAAACCTGGCTAAACCAACTTCAAGGCCCAGCACTCACTTTGAGGGTCCCACTCTCTTACCCTCGGAGTACCCTTGCCCTGTGTCTCACTTCACTCTCCTTTGGCAAACTTAGACCGCCCTGATCCCTGCTTGCCCTCCATGCTCCAGGCCAGTGGGGCTCACCCCACCCCCACTCTTTAGCCCCTTGGGTGGTCTCTTTCTATCCCTCAGCTCAGGTATTGGTGGGTCTTCGCTGTCCTGGATCTCAGTCAATGCACATTTCACAAAGCTTGTGTACGCCTGGCGTGGGACATCCTGCCTCTGGCCCTCTACAAGAACGTTAGCCTCGGCATCTCTGAAAAACCCAGCCTAGGAGGCAGGTGGGATGGCTCAGCAGGTAAAGGTGCTGTCGCTAAGTCTGACGATACAGTTCAATCCCGGGGACCCACACGGGGGAAGAGGAGAACACACTACCCAAGTTTTCCTCTGGCCACATGCACGCTATGGCACACGTGTCCACACACATGCACAGATAAATACAAATGAAATCAATGTAATTGTAACACACACACACACACACACACACACACACACACACACTCTCACAGGGCTTGGCCCAGTGCTGAACCCTGGGCAGAACCAAGTCAAACAGAACATTTCAGCATTACTAGAGACTGACATCTCGTCTTAGGCCATTTCCCAGGTAACTGAAGCGTCTACATCAAAGTACCAGGTTTTTGCCTCACAGCTACCTCATGCTGCACGCTCCACCACCCGGATCTTGCCCTGCTCTGCTCTTAGAGCAGACCCCAACATCTGTACCCTCCCGCTGAGACTTAGCCCTCCTTGCCCCACTTCCTAGTGGCTGCTGGCTCCGCTTCCATCATGGCTTCCATGAAAGCCAGGCTCCTGGCAATCTCCTATTCTGCCTTCAGGGGCCACCTCCAATGTCCCTGGTTCCCACCACATTAGGCTAGGTCCTTTGGCCACCTGCTCCCCTTGGCACCTATTCCTCTGATGCGTGTCATTCGCAGGACAGTCAACACCTGCCTTCACTAGGAAGCTGCCACTCAGTGATGGCAGGGTGGCTGCTGCTTCTCTCCAGGTCTCCTTTAACAGGATTTCTACCCAGTGTTCTTGGGCCAAGTGCTATCAGCCGGAGCCCTGGCTCCCTGGGCTTTCCTATAGACCCGTTCCACCTGTCTACACACAGCCTCCCAGCCTCTAGGCTAGGAAGCAATGCTGTCAATCCGCCACTAAGTGCTCTCCTGACTATCTTATTAAATACCTTTCCGGGGGCTGGGGGCCGCAGCTCCGTGGAAGAGTGCGAGCCTGGCCCACAGAGGGCCCTGGGTTCAATCCTCAGCATGCTCTTTGGGCTCAGGCTTTACCAACATTTGGGAGGTGCCTGGTGTGGGACAGGCGCTATACAAGCCTCGTGTTTTGTAAACCCAAAGGCCCAGCATTTACAAACGGGAAGCCATTTCCCAAGCGACGAAGGCCTGGTCAAGGCTGCAAAGCCGGCGGGAGCCGACGGTTATGATTCCAAATAGAAATGGGGAGAGGACGGTGCATGCTGAATTTTGAAAATACAATACCCAAAGGTGAAGAAGATGAGCATACAAACCATCACACGCATTTGGCTCTCGGGCTATGACTCCTTAATTTTTATCATGTCGGACAATCACTGAGCTGGATCACAGTGAGGGACACATTCCCAGGGGACCTGAATCACCCGCCACAGAGGCAGATGGGCACTTGCTCACCTGCCGGAGATTGATGTACACAGCATTCTGCAGAAACTCTGAAGCTTCCATGCCACGCTTCTGAATAGCCAGGACTCGCACGGCCTTGACGCATGCTTCCAGCTCAATCACCCCGGCATTCTTATACTGCGGGTGTAAAGTAAACACTTCCATCAGCAAAATGCAAGGATGTCTCCAGTGCTAGGAAGCTGCCACCGAGACTCCAGATGTTCCCAGCAGCACTTGCCATGCACAAGGCCCTTGGTACCCTCTGGGAAAAGCTATTTCTGAGTGTGCCTTAATGGGTACAAGTTGGAATGAACCTATGATCATCTAAGTGTGTTGCACTGATTAAAATCGTACAACCACAGTGCTTGCTACGTTACAGACTTTCACGGGGGGCAGGCAGGCTGAGGTCCCCTCAAGACCAGAAGTGATTAGCATTTAGAGGAGTTCGGGTTCGGGGATTTGGATTGTTGAGTTAGGGATGCTCAGCCCATATAACGGATGGATGCTTTGCTGTTTTTCTTAAATGTTGTTCTCACACCTGCGGCTTTAATGCAGCTGCTGGGAATGTGGTGCCCTTTGCAGAAGACATCTGGGCTGTCTGTGTTCAGTGCTGCTGATCTTGTCTCAGAACCACCTGTACCCATACCTCAGGCATTGGAGCAGAACAGGTTCTGTGGGGCTCATCCGAACCACTACTACTTAAAGCAGTGGTTCTCAACCTGTGGGTCACCACCCCCACAGGGGTCACATATCAGATATTCTGCATATCAGATATTTTTACTTTACAATTCATAGCAGTAGCAGAATTACAGTTATGAAGCAGCAATGAAAATAATTTTAAGGTTGGGGGGAGTCACCAAAACATGAGGACCTGTATTAAAAGGTCGCAGCATTAGGAAGGTTGAGAACCACTGACCTAAAGCGACACGTTTGGACAGTCCCCATTCTCTGGTCCTTGTGGACCTTAGCTAGCACTCCACATACAGTGGGACTGGGCGGCAAACTGCAGCAATACAGTGTTCATGCCCAGGAGCATCTTAGAACTTATTCTCAAGCTATAGGTATAAGCAAAGCAGATCTGGGAAGCATGAGTGTGCAGAGAGGACATGAGTGATGACAGACGTGCACCAATGGCTGTCTGGACATGGGGACCAAATGAGTACAGCTCTCTGCTCTCCTGGACCACTGCCCTACCGTCGGGACACTCATAATGATGGCCAAGTTACATGCATGTGACACGGATGTAGACAGGTGATCTGAGCCTATTTTCTGTGCCTAAAGAGAGATGTAAGGCTGCATGCAGGCTGTCTGAGGCTTCCACCAAGTCAAATAAGACAACCCAGTATCTATCTCAGCAGTGTGTCCATGTCTCCAGCTCATCTCTCCTAATACAATAGAACACCCTGAGACATTGCTCAGACCCTGAGACACTGCTCAGGAGTCCGGGAAGAAGCCATTCACAGAGCAGACCGGTTTCGGGGGAGGCCTCTTGATGAGTACTGAATGAAGAAAGCCAAGCACCGGATCAACTCTACTTAATCAGGGGTCTGCGTAGCATGGGAAAGGCTCCGGCTCCTTCAGCAGAGGAGGTGAGGGAAGAAAAGCAGAGAGGGCTCAGGGAAGCACAGAAATGAAAACGTAACTCGAGAAAAGCAAGATAGGAAGTTCCTCCTTCCGTCTGTGTTACATTACTTATGAGGAGCAGATGCCATGTAGAATACCGAACCCAGGACGAGGAGGCAATAACCAGTGCTTTATTGAGCAGTACTAATGAGCCTGCCGCTGTGCTGGCCATGTATGTATGTAAAAATCATTGACCCTGATTAAGCAGTCTATGCAGCAGAGTGATGAGAAAACAGCATCTGAAGCTGTAGACCTGCACAGAGACAGATGGCTAGAGACGGCAGCTCTGCCTACATTCTCCTGTCTGACTGCGGCCTAGGGGCCTGGTGGGGACAGAGCCACCTGACTCCTCTGCTGTGCCGGGGCAGACTCGTCTTTCCCCAGAGGTGAAGTTCCAGTGTTCGCTAACAGGGTACACTAGGTGACCTCTGAGGCTCCGGCCTGGCTGGTGAGGTGCCGTCCACCTGCAGCCATAAGTGTGGCCCACGGTGGCAAGGCAGGCTGGGAGGGCTCAGTGCAGGCTGGGGGTGCAGGCAAGCATGTAGCACATTTTCTTAATTAATGATTGACAGGGGAGGGCCCAGTCCATTGTAGGTGGTGCCATCCCTGGGCAGCTGGTCCTGGGTTCTATAAGAAAGCAGGCTGAGCAAGCCATGAGGAGCAAGCCAGTAAGCAGCTCTCCTCCATGGCCTCTGTATCAGCTCCTGCCTCCAGGTTCCTGCCCTGTTTGAGTTCCTGTCCTGATGAATCAGTGATGAACGGTGATTTGGATGTGTAGACAAAATAAACCCTTTTTCCCCCCAAGTTGCTTTTGGTAATAGTGTTTCATCACAGCAACAGAAGTAGGACACATTGATTTTCAGAAGTCCAGAAAGCTGATGTAGAAATATCAATGATTATCCCTGAATGGGCTAGGATAGTTTTTTTCCAAAATTTATATTAAATATATACTGTTTATAATCACAAAAAAACCCAAACATTTTAGGCATGTAGCACTATGCACTAGAGAATAATACGGGGTTGGGGATTTAGCTCAGTGGTAGAGTGCTTGCCTAGCAAGTGCAAGGCCCTGGGTTCGGTCCTCAGCTCTGGAAAAAAGAGAGAGAGAGAGAGAGAATAATACAATATTTACAAAAGCAAGTAAAAAAAAAACAGGTTGTCGAGACATCTCAGAGGGTAAAGGCACTTGCTTGTCAAGCCTGATGATCTGAGTTTCATCACCAAGCCCCACATGGTAGAGGGAAAGACCCGCCCCCTCCATGTTGGCCTCTGACCTCCACACCTGCATCACGGCACACGCACATGTGAGTGCCCTCAAAACACTGAAGCATGATCTACACTGAATCTTTTTTTTAAGATCTTGCAACATGACATAATGTCCACAGGGAACTTTCTGACCGGAAAGACACAATGATGCAAAAACTGTATGAAGCCATCCAGTCACCTTGCTGTAATAGGAAATGGCCTCTTTGTACTTGTCGATTATGTCCTCGGGGCTGAGACAGTTCTTGGCCCGTCCGATCTCAGTACTGGTGTCGGGATTTATGCCATTGGTGGTGAGGGCACCTGCGGACAGAGAGAGAAAAAACAGTCTTTTGCTTTTTTATTTCTTGGTCCCTTCATTACTTTAAAGAGGAATGTGCAGGAGATAAGACCTAAGTGCGTGCCGCTGAAGTCTAAACCCCGCTCGGGGTCTTCAGATTATCCGCGGGCTGTAACAATCTCACCACGGCAGCATCGTCTGCAGCGTGGCCAACTCTGGTGGGCTACCTTCTCTGTGAAGATTTTCCATTAAAGAACATGAGATCCCTTACATAAAAGTGGTCTATGGACAATGGCCCGAGGACCACACGGAGGCCTCAAAGGAGGGGAAATGTATGAGCCACTTCCTGAGCTGGAGAGCAGCCAAGAAAGTCACTTCAAAGTGCTAGTCGCCTCTCCGTGGCTGTCACTTTCTATTTCTGACCAACCCTTGCCACCAAACTCACACAGGGAGAGGGCTGTGGAGAACTCCCGTCTTCAGAACAGAAGTAACTACAGAGGGAACTCCAGCTGGGAAAAGGAAAGACATAACTGTCTTTGATGTCACAGAACACTCAAAAACTACCTGCTGAAGCCTTGGTGGCTGAGCTCCTAAGTCATGTGTTTATCTGACAGACAAGAACATCTCCCAAAATCGCACTCTCCCCACTTTTGGCTCAGGGTCCAGTGTTTCTAACTGCAGAGGGCCAGGATGCGCTTGGCACACTGCCACAGGTACCACGAAAGTACGTGTGGTACCCAGGCTCTCTAATCCAGGGCTAGTTTTCTCAATTGCATGCTTTCACTCTCTAATTCTGTGAAGTCCCTCATGCATTTTTTTTTTTTTTTGGAACAAGACAGAAGAAGGATGAGTAGGTAAGTATGTGGAAAGATGGGCTTGCGATGGAGAGACGAAAAGCTAAGCCTGCAAAATGGGGAGGGGAAAAAAGCATCCTGTGTAAAATCCTTTTGCAATAAAGAGAGGGAGAACTTTAGCAGAGAGCCACGAGGAGGTGGGAGGAAGAAAATATCTCACATCTGTCCTTAAAGAACTAGATTCAAATCCACAAGGGCCGGGGTCACAAGATGTGGGCACTCACAGACGCAGGCATCCCTTGGAGCAGAGTTCAAGAAGACAGCCATCGTATACCTGCTGTTGAACTAGAGGAAGCCAGCACCTGCAGCACCTGCAGCACCTGCAGCACCTGCAGCACCTGCGCCACCTGCGCCACCTGTGCCACCTGCACCAAAGACCGCTCCACATGCTCTCTTCCGCAATACAGCAGCTGCAGGAGAGGAGCACTAAGCTGGGTGCTCCTGCAGGTAGGGCAGGGCCCGGAGGAGCCAGGGCTCTCCCGGTTCTCAAGATGATGGAGCCACTGCCTCTACAGCTGTGCTTGGGGCCCGGCCCTGACCGCAGCGCTCTGTCTTCAGTTCTGTGCGCCTATCATTTTTGAGTCACATGTCCTGCACGAACTGCTATTTAATACACGACGACAACGATGAGGAGGAGTCTTGAAGTGTCTTATTGGCACTAACAAATTATCATCCAATTCCTGAATCTTATCCCCCCTGGAATAAAGAGGCATCGGGAAGGGGAGAAAGAGGCTTTCATTGTTCACACAGGCCACATCTCTTCTCTAGCCCAGGAAAAAGACAGGAAAAGTCCCCTTTATAAGGAAGGAAAATATGAGTGGCCCTGCTCCCTGAGTGGATGACTTCATTTAGTACAAGGCTGGTAGGTACATCTCAGAAGAAGCAACCAAAAATCATATTGTCTATAAGGAACCGGAACCTAGCTCTGCACAGTTTTAGTGGGCCAAGCTTTATTTCATTTCACTTGATAGACGAAAACAAACTGAAGATAGCCACACACAGCAGACCTGATCTTTCCTGTCATCTGTTTTGACTGCCCACACCAACATGATTGTAAGCCAGTGCCACTGAGACCAGACATTGAGCTGATAACCAAAAACCTTCCAAGAAAGAAAAGCAGGATGCAGATGGCCTCAATGGTTAAGTCTAACAAGCATTTATGGCTAAATTAACACCTATTCTCCACAAATTCTACTTGAAAATACCAAAGGAAGGGACATGACCAGTGACTTCCTCAGTGAGGCCAACACTGTCCAACACCAAGCCAGATAATGGCAGCAAAGCAGAGGAGAACCGGGCAGGCCAGTTCATAGCCCTCATGAGTGCAGACAATACTTCCCAACAAGAGCTCACTGAACCCAGTAAGGTACAACAATCACAACTACAAGCAAGGGACGAGAGATCAGCTTCATATCCCAAACTCAATGATCACAATGTGTGTGTGTGTGTGTGTGTGTGTGTGTGTGAGAGAGAGAGAGAGAGAGAGAGAGAGAGAGAGAGAGAGAGAGAGAGAGAGAGAGAGA